ACATATTGAAGGTAAACACAAAGGAGTGAGATATCCTTGCCCTCAATGTGAGTATATTGCAACGCATGTAAGTGCTCTGAAGTCACATGTTGAAAGTAAACATAAAGGAGTGAGATATCCTTGCTCACATTGCGAGTGTGCTGCAACCACAGCAAGTAGCGAAAATAAACACGAAGGAGTGAGATATCCAACCCCCCGATGTGACTATGCTGCAACTACAGCAAGGGATCTGAAGAGACATGTTGAATATAAACACGAAGGAGTGAGATATCCTTGCTCTCAATGTAAATACGCGGCAACTACAGGAAGTGCTCTGAAGGCTCATGTTGAATGTAAACATGAAGGAGTAAGATATCTGTGCCCCCAATGTGAGTTTGCCGCAACTTCAGCAAGAAACCTGAAGAATCATGTTGAAAATAAGCATACAGCTTCTACAGCAAAAGATCTAAAGAGACATGTTGAAAGTAATCATGAAGGAGTAAGATATCCTTGTCCTAAATGTAAATATGCTGCAACTCAGAAAGGAGATCTGAAAAAACATTTTAAAAATATACATAAATGAGTTTAGAGATCATTGTTTTCAATGCAATCATGCTGCAAAAGAATTGCACAACAATTTTCCATGACTTGTTGGTATTTAACATTTATTTTTTGGTTTTGGGTATCTTGAAACTCATGTCATTTTCTTATCGTATCACAATTTTTTATTTATATTATTTGAAGTTTTATATTTTTCATCTTTGAAAACTTATTTTAAATAATTATGATAATTATTTTTGTATTATCTATAATTTGTCTCTAACCTGGTGGTATGAACAAAATCACTAAATTCCTAAAAAGCTGAAATGAAAAAAGTGTAAAAAATCTATGAATAAAAAATTATATGAATCATAAAAAAATACCAAAAAAGGCAGCCTTATAGATCGTTACGAAAAGTTTTTTGTCATCAATTATTAATGTGGTTTCTTCTATTACCTTGAAGGTCCTTGTAGACATCACAACAGAAAAATATAAATATAAATTAAATTATCTCAACTGAATAGAAATGTTATCATTTTAATTGATGGAAATTGTGTTACAAATGTTTATTAATTTTTTAGATAGAATGGAAGAGATTATAAAGGCGTAGATGTCAAGAATTTTGAGATAATTTCGACTGTAGAGGATACATGTTTTTTTAATATACCTGAAGGTGAAATATGGCAGGAAAAAGCAGAAATACAAGGTTAATTTGATAATCATACATTTTTTACATATTTTGACAAAGGAATTGAGTCATTGCCACAAACTCTGATTTTTTATTACATTTATCTTTATAACCCAACGTTGAAGATATTTCAAGCTATGAATTCTGATTGATCAAATAATTAAAGTTTGAAATATCTAAAGTTTACGCCATCTAGTTTTAGAGATATAGGTATCATGAAAATTGAGATTTGTGGCAAAGACTCAATTCATTTATACATATTTCTTATTATATCTGAGAAAAAAATGTGTGGGGAGGGTTATAAGTTTTGTATGTTCAAAATTAGATATACAAGGTAAACAGTAGTTTATTGAGAAAATATGCGCAATTAATTTGTTTTAAAGGGTCGTGGCGGCCCCCCTTAACTCTGGAAATATCGGAGCTATATTCAATCAATCAAGGAAGAGAAAAAAATAAAAACTACCAAAAGAAAAAAATAAATGTCCCTTATTTTTTTTAATCTTGATTCACTGGATATTCGTAATTATTGAATATAATATACTCTGTATATTAATGTGATATATGCAACCATATAAATATCATGACAACAATCGGAAATTTTCTTATATACTCAGCCAGGAGTCCTGAAAATAATCCTAACATAAAACATAAATCTACTCTGGAGACATTGAAGTTGTGTTCAATCAATCAATCTCTCGGATAGTTTAGATGTCATCCTTATCATGTTAAAGAAAATATAAAATGTCGACCTTCTTCTTGAAAGTGATCAGCTGTTCACGGCATCTTTCCCTATATACCAGCTGATCTGTTCCAGTTTATAGTGTTAATCTTCACTTCATGCAATTTATCCAACTCTTTTGGAGAACTTTTAATAAGATTTATTGTTTGTACTTTTTAACTTTATTGTTTCCTTGATTTGATTTGTATTTTTAATTGTGTTTTGCTCTTGATTAATTTATAGAATTTCAGTAGTTTATTTATTTATCAAAACTTAATTCCTTTATAAGCAAATTTTTGTAACATATGATTTAAAAAAGCCAACTATAGTAAATGACGTTATATCTGTAATTTCTTCTTATACTTAATCTACTTTTCAGATATAGAATGGCAGAGACTCAGAAAGTAGAATTAGATTTAGAAGAGTTTGATATTAAAGATGAGAAAGTTTCCATCAAGGAAGAAATACTACCATCCTCTACTGCAGTAGAGGATACCTGTTCTGTGGATACAGATATAAAAGGTAAACTTGAAATTAATTGAAAGCTTTACATTTTCTTACAAACTGTGAAGTGTTTTAGATGAATTCATATATCATGCATAATGTGCATAAGACATTCCTCCCCCCCCCCTAGTAAAAAAAAGAAGCCGGAAACTCTTCAAAATTTACTCTTTGAGAAAATAAATTATTTTGTTAGGAAAGATTATCTTATTAAAAGAGTATAATTTTTAATCTAGTAAAAGAATAAATCTTGAGTTGAAGAGGTGAGAGGGAATTTACCCCTAGAGCGAACCAAGAATTTTTTCTTTAATTTTAATATATTGCAGATGTTTCTGTTTCAAAAATTCCAATTTAAAATTTTGCAGATTTCAACTGAATGCCATTTTATTCTTTGATTTTAAAGATATAAAGTTTTTTTTATTTTAAATGAAATTTTTATATTAATTTAATAACAATATTTGTTTAAAATTAGACAACAATAAAGATTTTTAGCAATAGAAAATAATGATTTTGTTATTGCAATTAATTATCATTATTATTGCTGTTCACTGTAAAAATTATTAATATTTTAAAATATGATTAAGAAGTATAACTTTTAAATTTTCATAACTTTTCCCATTGATTTGCTTGGCTATAGTTCTATCTTTTTATTTTTATCGATTTTCCTTTTTAAAGAAAGTTTTAATCAAATAACATGTGAATTCTTAAGAATAATATTATTGAAAATCTGTTCATTTGTAATTTTTTTATCAAAGCTTTTTTCCAGAGAGAATGGCAGAAATTGTTAAAAAAGAATTAAATATAGAGGAGATTATAAAGCAAGATCTAGATGTCAAGGACTATGAGATAACCTCTATTGTAACGTTTCCATCTCTATTTTTCACCCGTTGAAGCTTACACCACAGTATTAAGAGAAAGTGTCTGATGAGTCCACTTAAGAAAATTACATGAATAATTTATTAACACTTCTTATATGGAAGTGTGTATATGATCGAATAGTTTACATAGTTAAAAAAGGTATTAATATTTTTTCAAAAATTGAAAAAGAAGATACATGGACCAATATAATTGAAATAGAATATGCATGGAGCGATAAAATTGAAATAGAAGATGCATGGACCGATAAAAGCCTAGTATTCTATAAATACCAAACAGTTTACCGACTTTATCCAACTATTAATCAATTAACAATCGAATAAAGCGGAGTCACAACCATTCTAAAATAAAAAATGGCGGTTTCATGAAAATCCGTAAATTCTCTTTAGTGGACTCATGGTTTGACTAAACTAGTAATGATTAATGTTTGTAGGCATAATCACTGTTTACAGTCGTCAGTCAGTGTGTCTGTCTGTTAGTCAGTTTGCCAGTCTGTCTGTCAGTGTATGTTTGACAGTCCGTCTGTCAGTACGTTAGTCTGCTTGTCAGTTTGAAAGTCTGTCTGTCAGTTTATCTGTTTGACAGTCCGTCTGTCATTTTTTCAGTCTGTCTGTCAGTTTTTCAGTCTGTCAATGAGTATGTTAATCTGACAGTGAGTCTGTAAGTCTGTGCCGTGAGTTTTTCAGTCTGACAGTCCGTCTGTCAGTTTGTCAGTCTTTCTGTCAGTTTGACAGTCTGTCTTGACAATCTGTCTTGACAGTCTGCCTTGTCAGTCAGACAGTCTATCTTGACAGTCCTCCTTGTCAGTCAGACAGTCTGTTTTGTCAGTCTGACAGTCTGTCTTGACAGTCTGTCTTGACAGTCTGTCTTGACAGTCTGTCTTGGCAGTCAGTCTTGTCAGTCTGACAGTCTGTCTTGTCATACAGTCTGTATTGTCAGTCTGACAGTTTGTCTGTCAGTCTGGAAGCATAGATGGATGTTTGTCCTCTCTACGTCAAGATGAATTTTTCTGTTGAATGGATTTAGACAATTCACATACATACTTTCACATTCTTGGGGGTTACTCTTCTCATTGCCATCCATATTCATCCATACTCCTCCATAATCATTTATATTCTTCCAAATTCATCCATATTCCTCTATACTCATCCATACTCATCCATACTTATCCATACTCATCCATACTTATCCATACTCATCCAAACTTATCCATGTTCATCCATACTCATCCATACTCATCCATGCTCATCCATACTTATCCATACTCATCCATACTAATCCATACTTATCCATACTCATCCATACTTATCCATGTTCATCTATACTCGTCCATACTTTTCCATACTCATCCATTTTCATCCATACTCATCCACACTCATCAATACCTATCCATTCTCATTCATACATTCATATTTATCCATACTCATCCATACTCATCCATAATAATCCATACTCGTCCATACTTTTCCATACTCATCCATTTTCATCCATACTCATCTATAGAAATCCATACTCATCCATACTAATCCATACTCATCCATGCTTATCCATACTTATCCATACTCATCCATTTTCATCCATACTCATCCATATTCATCAATACTAATCCATACTCATCCATACTCATCCATAATTATTCTTACTTATCCATAGTCATCTATACTAATCCATACTCATCCATGCATTTATATTCATCCATACTCATCCATACTCGTCCATACTTTCCATACTCATCCATACTAATCCATACTCATCTATACTAATCCATACTCATCCATGCATTTATATTCATCCATACTCATCCATACTCATCCATACTAATCCATACTCATCCATACATTTATGTTCATCCATATTCATCCATGCATTTATATTCATCAATACTCATCCATACTCATTCATTATAATCCATACTCATCCATACTAATCCATACTCCACCATACTCCTCCATGCATTTATATTCATCCATACTCATCCATACTTATTCATACTTATCCATACTCATCTAGCTATACAAATCCATACTCATCCATGTATCTATATTCATCCATACTAATCCATACTCATCCATGCATTTATATTCATCCATACTCATCCATGCTTAACGGTTTGAATGTTTTCTTCTGACAATATCTCATATATCGCCTCCTTTTTTATCAGTTTTCTCTTGTCTGAAACAACTCTTATTTTATCCTGTTTCACAATGCCTGCTTTATTTCAAAACTATTTGCCATCATTGTTTCCCCGTTGTAAAGATT